CATAGTGTAGTAAATGATCCCCCTTAAAATGTACTTTGAGAGGAGGGGAGGGGAGGGGGGGAGGAGGGAAGAAAAAAAATATACATTTTGTTGTTAAGCCCAAGTAAAAAAAAAAAATTTAAAAAAATAAAAAGATTAATAATCCTCAACCTTAGAAACCCCCTGTTATACACATTTTATTAAAAATGTGATCAGTGCACAAACAAATGGTTAGAGTACAGGCAACAACAGATAGTATAGCAACCCTGAGAACGGACAAAAACTTAGAGAACCCTTAGTAGCTTCTTCTTCTTGACCTTCTGTAAATCCCCGCTAAGGTCTCAAAATCATTTCTGCTCACTTGTGCCATTACAGAGAGAACCTAGACCATTGAATATCAGACTGGTATAGACTGTTACAGCTCTTACATATTGTATATAGGGCAGGTATAGACTGTTACAGCTCTGACATATTGTATATAGGGCAGGTATAGACTGTTACAGCTCTGACATATTGTATATAGGGCAGGTATAGACTGTTACAGCTCTGACATATTGTATATAGGGCAGGTGTAGACTGTCACAGCTCTGACATATTGTATATAGGGCAGGTATAGACTGTTACAGCCCTGACATATTGTATATAGGGCAGGTATAGACTGTTACAGCCCTGACATATTGTATATAGGGCAGGTGTAGACTGTCACAGCTCTGACATTGTATATAGGGCAGGTATAGACTGTTACAGCTCTGACATATTGTATATAGGGCAGGTGTAGACTGTCACAGCTCTGACATATTGTATATAGGGCAGGTATAGACTGTTACAGCTCTGACATATTGTATATAGGGCAGGTATAGACTGTTACAGCCCTGACATATTGTATATAGGGCAGGTATAGACTGTTACAGCTCTGACATATTGTATATAGGGCAGGTATAGACTGTTACAGCTCTGACATATTGTATATAGGGCAGGTATAGACTGTTACAGCTCTGACATATTGTATATAGGGCAGGTATAGACTGTTACAGCTCTGACATATTGTATATAGGGCAGGTATAGACTGTCACAGCTCTGACATATTGTATATAGGGCAGGTATAGACTGTTACAGCCCTGACATATTGTATATAGGGCAGGTATAGACTGTTACAGCTCTGACATATTGTATATAGGGCAGGTATAGACTGTTACAGCTCTGACATATTGGGGAGTTATAAGTTATAAACGTTCTAGTCCTGACATATATACAGTATATATAGGGGAGGTATAGACTTTCTAGTCCTGACATATATACAGTATATATAGGGGAGGTATAGACTTTCTAGTCCTGACATATATACATTATATATAGGGGAGGTATAGACTTTCTCCGTCCTGACATATATACAGTATATATAGGGGAGGTATAGACTTTCTCCGTCCTGACATATATACAGTATATATAGGGGAGGTATAGAGTTTCTCAGTCCTGACATATATACATTATATATAGGGGAGGTATAGACTTTCTCAGTCCTGACATATATGCATTATATATAGGGGAGGTATAGATTTTCTCAGTCCTGACATTATATCCTGGATATATTGAAGATATAGACTGGAACAGTCCTGACATTATATATATATTCTGTATAGGGGAGGTATAGAATTTTCTAGTCCTGACATGTGTACTTATTTATATGTAGGGGAGTTACAGACAGTCATAGTCCTTACCTTGTGTAGTTAGTCTTTGTTTCGGGGTTCTGGCCCCAGCAGAGCCCCCAGAATAGCGAAAGGCAGAGAAGCACAGTACGGGTCATGTTTGGGAAGGTTGCTAACTTTCTGCTGCTGACTGACTCAATCTGTGCAGACTACTGGTAGAGTCAGTGGAAGTGTGTGTGTGTGTGTGTGTGTGGCTGCATGTGTGTGTGTGTGTGCTAAAGGGGGTTGCAGATTGAGTGTGTAAGAGTGTATGTTTGAAACCCAGATGTATCAGAATAGGACATCAATAACGCTCAAATAAATCATCCATTTAACTAAATGTATTTCATGTAAATATGTTTTATATATATATGTGTGTGTGTGTGTGTATACAGAGGGAGAGAGGGGAGGGGGTTTAATTTGGGTTAACAAATGAGAGCTAGTATCCACTAAGTGTCAGGAGAACAGAGAGAGGGGGAGGAAGTTATAGCAAACAGATGTGCTGTTGAATTCGACAGTTCAGTCAGCGCCAGCAGCACAGTCTGTCTGCATGTATACATACAATATACACATACACATGCACAAACAACTCTGTGTATATTGCTTTATATGTCTCTATATGAACCTCTCTGTACAGCTTTAATTATGCGAAAATCTGCAATGATCAATTCACTAAACTCCTCGAACTCAGCAGTAGCTGTCCTAAACTCAGCAGGTAAACCGGGCAGCCAGACTGAATCACTGTTATCATTCTGGAGAGATGCAGATTAATCTGTTATCAGTAGGGAGGCATCACAAAACACCGAGCATTGATTTGTATTGATCTTTATTCAACTGATATCCGTAATCTTCTTTACTAATTCTTCAAACTTGCCGTCAGATCTTAAATTATTTTAGATAGTTACCTAACCAGCGAGTGAAGAAAATCTACTCGTGTACTCATCTCCTTCCACATTTAGTGGAAAATTATGGTTCTATGTTTCTATAAAAACTACCACAACAAGAGGACATAGTCTTAAATTAGAGGGACAAAGGTTTAAAAATAATATCAGGAAGTATTACTTTACTGAGAGGGTAGTGGATGCATGGAATAGCCTTCCAGCTGAAGTGGTAGAGGTTAACAGAGTGATGGAGTTTAAGCATGCGTGGGATAGGCATAAGGCTATCCTAACTATAAGATAAGGCCAGGGACTAATGAAAGTATTTAGAAAATTGGGCAGACTAGATGGGCCGAATGGTTCTTATCTGCCGTCACATTCTATGTTTCTATGTTAGGCCAGGCGTTGCTCCGTTTTCCCTAACTCAGGACCTGAAATGTAGGATAGAATTTTACTGCTAAAACTCAGGAAATAGGACCTGGGCGTTTAAACCTAGTATGTATGTTGGAACTTTAATAAGGTTTAAAGAGATAGTAAACCTTCCACTGGAGAAATCCCCTAATATATCCAAATTCTTTTAGATCCCCTTCCCCCTTGTTTTTTGATAAGAGAATTTTGAGCATTTTAGTGTGTGAACTTAAAGTAGTTTGACATTTAAGATAAATTCTCCGACTGTTAATTTGTTTGTGTGTCCATTCTAAAAATGAATGGTGTGTTTCGATGAGGGTGTGTGGAAGGTATAGAGTGTACAAGAAGACAATCTCTCTCTTTCTGTCTGTCTCTTTCTCACTCTGATTAAATAAATTAATATGTGAGTTTGCTTATTGCTGGTTGTGATTTATTAAGACACGTGAGGTTGGAGTACCATGAGACACTTCTTTAAAAGTCAGGTCAGCTTAACTGCTTTGGGATTTGAAGGGACACTAAGCATCAAAACTACTTTAGATTACTAATAGAGTTTTGGTGTTTATATCGTGCCTCTGCAGTCTCGCTCCTCAATTTTCTGCCATTGTGGAGTTAAATACTATTATATCGCTGTTGTAATGGGCTATTTAAAATAACAAACTGAGAATATGAAAGAAATTGGTATTTTTGGTACTGCCCCAATCATTGTTTACATTTAATTCTCTTTCAATGACTTTACCCAACAAGATGACAATGTTCCGAGCTAACAGGACGGCTGACTACATTAATG